GTACAAATGAAAGTGGAGCGCACAATGGACCAATAACTGGTCTAAGTGCATGGGGAAACCAACCCCCTCTAATAATAATAATAATAATAATATATGTAGACGAAATTTCTTAGTGTAGCTCGAACTAGCCTGACTAATTTTCAAAAAGACATACACGTGTTCCAGTATTGCTGTGTGCGGTAATATTTATTATTTTTATTTTAAAACTCTCTTCCTATTTCCACACATCGTAAAAAGAAAGGGAACTGAGATGGCCAGATGTAACTGTAGAATGTGTTATAAAATTTTCGCCATTCTGGAGTTCGTACTATATACAGTACAAGATACGTACTAAACTTAGGACTGCATGCTTCACACTAGAAATATATCAAAATATCCCTTCATATACAGCACACAAATTTACATTAAGCCTGGAAAATTTTTGGAGCTCCGTAGAGGGAGAAATGGCCGTTGTTTTTCTGTTGGAATTCCCGCCCACAACCGACAGCTCTTGCTGTCACGATCACCAGGGCAAAACTTACGTCAAATGCACGATAAATTAACAGAAGTAACACACACACACTGCTCTCGCTTCCATGTTAACTTATTACAGATGTCGCAAGGCAGTGAACAGTTATTTACAAATATAATTATGTGGAATATTTCTTTACTGTTGGCATTGATTCGGTTATCCTATGAACAATGATCCCTAGAAGCGTCATTACAGGATACCTCGTCGAACACGTAGAACTTTTAGTCTGCAGGGTTGGCTACGCAAGGTATGCTGTACCCTGGTTCTGGGATGGACAGAACGTATAATTAACATTACTTTTGGAAGTTTTATTTTATTTTATTTCGACATGTATTCTACCGTGCCATATCACGACCTTGAACTGATAATTGGACACACTCTTATAGCTACACAAACATGAACGCAGAAAAGGGAGTACACCATCAACCCGAAGAAATCGAAGAGGAGAAACCTCGCTGATTACGTTTCGAGGTACTGTCAATCTGCTGCAGAGAGAAAAGATTTCAGATACGTTCAGTCTGCTTAAATATCCGCCCTCTCCTTGACAGCTGGAATACACAAGTCGTATTCGCGTTCTATCTAACGAACACATTTCATTCCGATGAGCGAAATAATAAACTGTATATTTGAAACTCGTATCACAGATAATTGCACAGGTGACCCCTGAACATGAACCCAAAAATTCCTTCTGCCCAGTTTCAGAACTTCCCAGGTTCCTGGAGAAAACATGTAAATGTGGACTGTGATATGAGTGAAAAATGGGCATTCAGTTGCTCTTGTCTGACTGTGAAAACAATCAAATGGAACGAGACTGAGATCAGGAATGAAAATGGTCGCAATTTATTTCGGTTGCTCTTGTACTACTGAGAACTAAATCCTCTTAAATTTGTGGGAGCTCAGACGCACCACCGTGTAAATACCAGTAAGGACTTAAAAATAAAATAAATGGTTAATTCAAGAAGGTTTTTCCAGTGTGACCATGAATAATTGAACAGATGTAACGCGAAAAGAGATCTGGTGAGCAGACAGGTTTCAAATGGAGTTCAAACCCATCATGAACATGGGCGACTCCAAGACTTTCTTATCGAGGGGGAACCAATTTTCCAAGGAAGGGTAGTTAGACAATTTGCTTATAAAATTATATTTAAGCAATTTAAGACTAATTTGACTGATTGCACTAGGGTATTCAGGATAAATGAATACACATTTAAAAGTAATTATAAATTCTGTATGAATATTTGGTAACTTCCTTCTCCTTTCAAAGTCCGATTTTCCAAAATCCAGAAAAGGCAGATGTCTTATCCACCGCCGTCGCCAAAGCTTATGATCATCAAGCAACTCATATGTAATTCACTTATTTTTTAATTCGCTTAGTTGGAGGTGGAGTCCAACTAGGTCCACTTGGCACGGCGGCCACTGATTGGCGTATTGTAGCCTGCCCCGGGTGATTATGATCGTCACAGAGTCACAGACGACACAGATTAGTTAGAACATAACTTATGCGACTCTGCGACCACTTTCGTGACTAATAGAATGACTTGTGTATACTCAGGCCCGGTCGGTCCGGTAACTCCCATACAACTGCACGCTTCCCTTCGCTCCCATGTGCTCGAAATGATTTCGTTCTATTGGTTTCAATTTCTCTCAAGAGATGGAGCAGACACGCACAGCTGTAGATAAATGGCAAAGTTTAATCGCATACACTTACCGGCAGGAATCGGTAGTATCGGCCCAGTATGTTTGTAAACTGGGTATTCGTCGGGTAATTTTTCACGTGTAACATAAGTTTTCAGAGGTGTTCATTTTTAATGTTACGCATTAGCAATTCATTAAATGTACTCCATAATATTTTAGAATATACTAGACTTGTTATAATTTGTATCTGGAGACTAGGGTTAGAATCCGTGCAGTCTCTGCGGGCAGCTGATGGCCGTCTCTAGGACGACTAGAGCAGACAGCCGTAAGGTGAAACATGTAAAATTGTAAACTAGTAAGTGGTTTTGTTGTGTAATTTATAATTAGAAGGATTGAAACCGCCATTCATTGAAAACCAGTGCACATCAGATCATCGTCACAGCCAGCGCACGGCAAAGGAATGGCAAGGCGGTATCTTTATCTGAAAGAGCAATGTCAAAGGAGGAGGATCACCCACTTGTCAGATTGCATGAACTGCGATTAGTACTCATTTTGTTTAGATTTGAGAGTGAAGAACAGTGATTATTCCCACCTCAAGCTTGTTAAAAGCTCCAGATCCTCTTATGTTTAGGGTGAATACTAATTGAATGGAATAGTAAAGGTGTAGTAGTGTGGTACAGATCGGCCCACTTTCATTATTTTAGATGTTAAAGTGCTTAAGCCTCATCGTGCAAAGTTTTATAAGAAGGGAGGAATATTTTGGCTTAGATTTGAATCACCTTTTTACCATCTAGAGATGTTTAATTGTTGGAATATTGTAATCTTTCCTACTGTGTTTTGTTACATGTCATGTTAGTGTTAACGCTTTTATACTATTGATTGCTAACATTGTTTTGGTAATCCCTCTGTATATCTTTACTGTGATCTAGCTCCCCAAGTGAAAACTGGCTTATAGCACTAAATCGCTGTGTTTTAAGATACGCTTCAAATAATGGTAATATTTTTGTAAATTTTGTTTATGGAAACAAGGCTTTATTATAAATAAAGTTAATCTCTTCTAGGGCCTTATTGGTCCCATTTCGGTTGTGAATATCACTCTCTTCTCATCTCTGGTTAGCTGAATGGTGATATCTAGAGTTGACAACGATGCAAAGCCTGAAGGCTGCATGTGAGGAAGCTGAAGTAAGTATCCACTCCTTATGAAGGAAGATGCCTTTTCTTATAACTGCTTTTTAAAATATAAAAATAAGTTCAGACTTCTACAGATTTGAATTTTCTGGTCAGAAAGCTACCTCTAACTTTGTTTTTATTATTGACAGAATAAGCATGCATATTAGTTTAAGTGATTTTAATAGAACAGAGTTTCAGTACATTCACTACATATATTGATGTTTTAATATAGGTTTTATATTTTCAACTATGAAATCAAAGATATATTGACAGTCTACACAACCCCAATCCACTTCCCAACCTGTGAGTTCACATTTTATTTATGGTTGCTATTTGTGTTACAAACCAATCTGTGTTTCCTGATGAAACTTTTCTTTGTATTGTTTAAGAATGTCTTATAAGTTTAGAAAAAAATCATAATTATTATACTGAGATTAAGTGAAAAATCCAGTCTTAGGCAAACTCAGGTATTTTTATTAGGGTGACAAGTGAGGAAGTGACAAAAATGAGTTGTTTTAAATAAAACAATATATAGTTTATGCATGTTAAATAAGAATTGTTAAAGCAGAGTGATAATTTTTTGTGTTGAGTTGCAATTTGAGAAGACCTCTACCATGGAGTGACCTGTCTCTTCTGAATTAGGGTGTCATTTAGATTTGCTGTACTTGTCCTCAGAATTCTGGTTTAATTTACGAGGCATTTTTAATGTAAGTAAGGTAAATTATCTTTGTTTTGTAACATATCAGGTATTCAAGATACATTTTCTTGTATCTCTGTTAATTTCTGATATATTTATCCTTCATTAATTGACATTGATTCATCGGTTAATAAACCCAGTTTTAGCATGTACTTTGCTGGGGCGCATAATGTCTTTTATTGAAATAGTTGCAAAGTGTGATGGAAAACAGTGAACATTGATGAGATGCACTACCGCTGTGCCAGACTGGCTGACTGACATGACAGATTGTGAGCATTTACGAGTATGCATGTGCATTGGAGGTTATTATATGACTATCATTTGGGTGTGCCAGTCACGATAGTCAAGCAATCTGAGGTATGCACTGTCTTCACTCGCTTGGAAGCCGGGATCGTGGGTTCATATCTTACTCAGGGCATGGATGTTTGGTGTCTGTGTGTGTGTTTGTGTATTTTCCTGTATTTGTGTATGGGTAGAGGCCTTGCAACGAGGTGATCACCCGCCCAAGGAGTCCTACTGAATGTCTGAAATCTACTAAACTGAAGTGAACGAAAGTCCAAATTGGGGCTCTAGCACCAAAATAAGAAAAAAATCATTTGGGTGTCTGGGTATATTGTGGGAATGGCAGTGGATAAAATTATAGATCAACAGGGGATGACTACAGTAGAGTAACATTTAAATATTTTTGTCTTGCCAGCACATATTGCACATTGCAAAGAAGTGCCCTCAGTCTGTGCCTCATTACCAGGAGAGGAATGGCAACATATTTTTCTCAGTTCACCAGAAACTGAGGGAGCTCTATGAGGAGGAATGTGCCAGAGATTCACAGCAACCTAATAAGGTAAACTTAAAGTATTCTCAAAGAGGGAAACTTATAAAACATTGAAATATCATATTTTAGCATCTCTTTTTTGTTTTGAATTTGTTATTTAGTTGTGCTGTCAGTACTGGGTCTATATAGCTTCAAATGACAGGATTGTTAATGAATGTGGAGGAGCTGGTGGAATGAGAATTGGTGGGGGAAACTGAAATACTTGGAGAAAACCTGTCTCAGTGCCACTTTCTCCACCACAAGACAGACATGACTTGACCTGGGATCAAACCCAGGCTGCCACTGTGGAAAGCTGATAATAAAATGGCTGAGCTCATACCATGCACTTCTTTGCATATCCATTTAATTATGTTTAAAATTCTTTAATGTAATCATAGAATTGTTCCACCTTTACACAGATATAAAAGTAAGTAAAGTAAAGGTATCCCTGTAACAGGCCGTTGAAGCCAATAGGATTGTGAGATGTTGAGGGTCCCATATTTTCTAGACAGTTGGCTCATAGATGGCAGTAAGGTTGTCAGCCTTACGCGCTGGCCGCCCTTACCCCCAAGAATATTCCTGGTACTCATTTCTGTTAGAGGCTGAGTCGACTCCAGGACCATAGTGCGGCTGGATTGAAAGTGAATTGTGCATGCTGATTTATGAGGTGCTGAGAATGTATAATTTTTATGGAATTTAGTGTTGTAAATTTTGGACTGAGGTACTAGCTGCTGTTTTATTTGGGTGGCATCAATTAGGAGTTATTAGGCAACTTCTTTGTGACCTACAGGGTATTTTCAGATTGAGTCAAAGTAAATTTTTAAACCTGTCATCATTTTAATCAAGTTTTTAGTAAACTGCATCACAGTTCTTGTAAATGAAACCGTGTTCTTTCCTCCAAATTATGTTCAAACTTATGGTACTTGGTAGTCTATGACAGTGTTTCTCAACCGCCGGGCTGCCGCCCAGTACTGGGCCCTAGTCTCATAGAAAGAAGACAAAGTATGACAAAGATTGAGAACCATGAAATCCACATTATTTATGGTTAATGTCAAATCCCTATACACCACATCAGTTCGTCTAGTGAGAAATACCTGTCTACTTGACTTCTCTGCATTCATGGAGGCCAACATTAGGGAATTACACAATATTTATGAAAATTTACATAATTTAAGTGTGAATACTGATGTACTGAATCTTGCGAGTCTTATTTTTGTTGCTTATGCCATCAGAGGCGTTAGGTGGTCATACATATGGAATTTTTCATACAGTGTTCATACAGTCTTGAGTGGCAGAAATAATTTTATGTGTATTCATAGTTACCACACCAAGACCCATTCAGACTGTCCCAGAAATTGTAACTGCAATTTTTAACTTTTGTTCTCCACACATTATATATATACAGTCAACTCTTGATTATCTGGGGGCGGATTACTGGTTTATGGCTTAACCGGGGCTACTGAGGCTTTTTTGAGGCTTATATGTTGTTTAATATTCATTCACTTTTGTTTCACATGGTGAGTTTAACACTATTTTCGCACTAGTGTGAACCGAGCTCTGCATTCTTTGGTCCTGTTATGCTAACACAATGTTCTAGGGTAGGGGTGAAAGAATGCAAGGATTTGTGGAAAGTTTCAAGGACAGATACACCACCCCAGTTGGTCTCTTTGTATCGATCTTCAAGTGCGTTAGCAAAATGTCAGGGTGTAAAAGGAAGCGTGTTGTGTTAAGTATTCAACAGAAACTCGTGTGAGCCGGGCTTCGAAATGTTAAGCAGTGACGAAAGCGTAAGTTCAGTGGGGGTGCAGCCAGAAGAGTGGGAAGAAAGTGAGAATGAGGAAGAGGTGGAGAGTGCTGCTAGTAAGAAAATATCACATGGTGCTGCTCTTAATCATTTGGAATCCTTACTAGACTAACTTGAGAGTGAAGAGAACAGTTTATTAAGTGACAAGCTAATATTACGTAGGCTTCGTATGGATATCCGTAAAAAGGAAAACGCCGCGAAAAAGCAAATGACAATATTAATTTTTTTAAGTGTTAAGTGTGAATATTCGTAAAAAGTGTTGGATGTTGTTGAACACTGTGATTGAAATAACTAATTCACACTCCAGTATAATGTAAAAAAAAGTATTAAATAGGGCATGAGATGACATAAAAATGAGGTTGAGTAAATTTAAATACAGGTAGGCCTATAGTATTCTGAAGGTACAGTATTACAGTACTACTTTTAATAACATTTGTCTTAAGCGGGTTTTCGGTTAATCGTGATTTCCATGCCCACCATTATCCCGGATAATCGAGAGTTGACTGTATATATATATATATCTTATAGGACATTTACACAACGGAGTTGCCCATCAAATAGTATCAAATATTAAAAAATAACATACAATATAACAACGGGCCTCCGAACATCACATCAGCCATTGTGTATATAATATGTCCATATAAACATTACATGTATTATGATTACAACAGCCAACCTCCAAATACCATCACATATACAACTTTTAACTATACTTTTGACTATGTAACTGGTTATTTTAGACTTTAGTTTTTATTGTAATTTATAGTTTATATTCACTCATATCATTTTATACCATTGTATACATTTGGAAGTTTAGTACTGTATCCTATATTTCACATGCAATTCAGTAATGAAAAGTTTAATGTATATGCCTCATGATGGCCTTTTGAAGGTCGAAACATGTAGCAAAAGTATCTCCTAGAGCTGCTGACACATAGTATTGATTGTTGTGGTATGACAGTTTTCAGTAAGAAATAATATATGATACACAACAGGATGCATTCACTGAAAATTATATATTTACATTGGGTTAGAATTGTTATGGTTTCTGCTAGTGAGGTTGTTTTTTCTTCCCCCTTAAAAAGCCCATGATTATGTTTTTTCCTTTTTACATAACCAACATTTACATGTACAAGAAATCAAATTGACACAAAACACATAAACAGAAAATGTTAAGAAATCTTGTGTAGGTATTTGATCCATCAAGAAGCAGAACAATTTGTCACACATCTTTAACTTATACGAGTACATGACTTCTCTGTTAACATGAGCACTGCAGACCTGTTTTGGCCAAGAGAGAAAACTTTGGCCCAGGCCAAATCTGTGAACATTTGAGCGTATTTCACCCACAAACGTAATGTTTTAACTCCAGCATATTAAATTCACAATCTTGAGCTCTGCTCATTACAGATTAGTGGCTCATAAAAAAAACTCCATGGTTCGAATCTGCAAGCGAACTATACCTACTGAGCAACCACCGCTTGTCAGTGAAGTTAGTGCCAACTTTAGTTGATAGAGGGTGTCGCGTGGTCAGCGCAATGAATCGCCACGGCCGTTAATCTCGGTTTCCTAGACCAGAGCCGTTATTTCCTTGAAATAGCGCTTCAGTTATCATCATGAGGCTGAGTGGACCCAGTTCCAGACCCACTACTTCTCAGAAAATCTGATAGCACTGGGAATCAAACCCAGACCTCTGGATCTGTAGCCAGGAACTCTGACAACTAGACCACAGAGGCGGTCAGATTAGTGGCTCATAGTTGTTTTAAATTTAACCACAGATGTCTCCACTATTGCTAGTGGGGTGGGACTAAGTCCCTTGTACTGCGGCCACTTCTGGCCATGTCTCCACTAAGGTCAGTGGATAGAACTGTGTGTATGGCCCAGTACTGTGAATAGATCCTTTGGTTCAAGAAATAGCTGTTGTGTGTTTGTTCCTTGTATTTTTACATCATGTTTTGTGTTCATGTATTTCTTAGTGTGAAATGCAAAATTATTATGAATGAGGAAACTAGAAGTATGAGGAAGGAATTATTGCTGCAGTTACACCTGTGTCACAATAGCCAGTATCTATATCAAAATTTGAACCCTAGACCAGACTATGAAACAGGAATGTTAACCCCCTCATAATATTCATGGCAATATGTGTTGCAAACTACACGAACATGCATAATGAAGGATTTTAGGTTCTCACAGCAGTGACTGTGATAGGACATCATGTAGTCTGTTGAATAGTCAACCTGCATTTCAGAGGAACATTTTGCTACCTGCTTGGTGCTAGTTTCTTGCTTGGCATATTCTTTGACCCAGAAGATGGAAGCGGCATGTTCCTCCAGTTTGTCAGTTGGTTATCAGTAGACTTCTCAGTGTTTTATCTGAGAAGACATAGCTCTTCTTGTGCAATGAAAGCTGCATTCAGAGGTAAATGGCCGGCTTTCAGAAGACCAGTATATATAACTGGCTTAGCAGAATGTTTCATTCACACCTTGAACTTACTTTCTCCAGAATATCATATGAAGATGCGTCAAATGAAAACCTTAAAAGTGTCAGAAAAATGACACCGTACTCTGTGCATCTTCAGGAACAACAAGTCATCAGTATGGGTTAGAAGTAGGCCACGCCATAGTTCAAGCGGTTAGTCCCTGACTTTCCACCGCGGCAGCCTGGGTTTGATCCTGGGTCTGGTCAAGTGGGATATGTGGTGGACAAAGTGGCGCTGGGGTAGGTTTTCACTGAGTGCTTCGGTTTCCCCTGCCAATCTTCATTCCACCAATTGCTCCACAATCACCCTCACCTATCATCTGGGGCTGGTACAATAGGCCAGAAGTGGCCACAGTACGAGGGACTTAGTACCACCCCACTAGCAATAAAAAAAAATGGGTTAGAAGCATGTACTGTGTATGGTAGATCTCACAACATGGGCTTCAAGATGCAAGCACATCATGCAAAGATAGGTGCTCTATTGGAAGCATGCACGGAGGTGGAAGAGTGTTCTGTAATCAATTTCTCGATTAGCAAGGGTAACACATTGAAATCCATTGCCACAAGAAGTTGCAGTACTGTAAGGCATGTTTATCTCAGCAGCAGGTGTACGATTAGAGTGGGAAGTTTAAAAATGGAATATCTGGTGTCACGGATGCCACTCAACAAGGCCAAGCCCACAGAGTCATGATGCCGCAGACAGTTGTGGCCGAAAGCATCATTAAGGAAACCCGTCACATCAAGG